TGTGAAGTGTTAATTTTCTTTGAGGTTCCCTTATGTTCCATTGATTTCTCTGTCCATTTAGTACAGTCTATTTTATCCTGTAGTCTATCTGACCTTCTCAGTGTCTGGATCTCTGTTCCTACGTGTTCACCTTCTTTTGCATTGTACTCGTTTTGGTCATAGACTGCCCTCCCAGAGTCGCTCAGTTTGTTCTTATTGTTTTGTTTTGTTAACATTTCTTCTTTCTGTTGACTTAGTTCAGGGAGGTGCTATAAAACTACAACAGCAAAAAACAAAGCAGAAAAAAAAAAACGATGAGGCAAAAGAAAAGAAAGAGGGGGGAGGGGCAGAAGAAAGAGAGGAAAAAAAGCGTAGCTTAATGTAAGTCTTTAATGTTCTACCTCTCTTTCAGTTCCTTCTGAGTTCTTCTCCTTGTTGGTATGCTGTGGAGTCGATCGTGACCCACAGTGACCCAGTATAGGGTTTCCAAGGAGCAGCTGGTGGGCTCGAACCACAGTCCTTGCAGTTCAAAAGACTTTGCAGTCTGGCGCATTAACCCACAGAACCATAGCAGGACTGCTGTGTTATTGGTGGTAAACAACTAGTCAAGGGCGTTTCACCGTGAGCTGGCCTGCGCCTTGATGTGCGTGCCTAAGGTTCAGAGGCTGGGCAGAGGGCTGGCCTAAGCCGAGGAAGTGGAGGGTGGGGGTAGTGGCTGCAGGCAGATGGCGCAGCTGTGTCTGATGATGTCTACAATACCTCTCTCTGTCTCCCTGTGCCGTGAGCACCCCAATTTTTCCTATATCCTTGCCAACAATGCCCAACGTGGCAATGAGGCTCCCCTGGGTTGGACCACGTTAGTTCCTGTGGCCCCGCTAGCTCTCCGGGAGTATCCCCCCTCTTAACGGCTCCGCTCAAGCCCTGCGCTCCAAGCTCTGCAATGGTCGGGGCAGTCCCCGGGGTGGGAGCCAAGTCCAGGTGGGTGGAAACTCAAAATGCTTGTAACTCCTCAGCAGTTTGATTTTTTTAAAAAGTAAGCTCATAATGTTAAAGCCTAATGTTTTATGTTTGCACAAAGGCTGTCTGTCTACCAGGCAGTGGCCTCCCTGTGCAATACCACCCCCGTATTCTCCGGAGCCCGTGTACCTGTGCTGCCCGGTCAGGGAAGTGCCCTCAGTTCCTATAAATGTTTTTAAGTAGTCTCTTCTGATAAGAATTGATTTTGAATGCCTTCACTATTATATGATTTTTTAAAATTTTATTATTTTATGTAATTTCATTCTGTATAGGATTTCTTCTTATTTTTATTGATATTATGGTAGATACTTTTATGAGTTTGCATATGTGTGTTTTATGAAGAAATTCTTTATTTTATACTTATATTTAAATTACTCAATGAGATGGAAAGTTGTCACTTAATTTAGATATTCTTGTGTTATGCTTTTTTCCCCTTAATCTAAAAAGCAAATAGGAAATTTGAAGATAAATTCATCTTGGTAATGAGTTCTAAAGTTCTTAGGAGCAAGAAGGAAAGATAAAGTTTGCAGAAACAATCAATGCGGATTTTAAAAATTGTAACTTGATCTTAATGTACTCGCAGAAAGTCTAGTGCCAGCCTTGATGCTGGGACAAATGTGAGTAATTCCTTGTTGCAGGAGCAAGACATGGTCATTGTTTTCGCTTGTCAGTACATTATCTCAGATGATCTTTATTAAAACTCTCAGAGACAGTTAAGGGGTGCTAAAATGTTTGCATTTTCATACATATTTAGTTGATCTTTTTTGTCTTCAATTTAAAGTTGTTGTAGACTAGGTGTGATGTCATTTAGCACATCCTCATCTAAATAGTAATCAGTGATACATATCTTTATGCTTAGACTGTTTTTATTTCTTTTCACAATTTCCAGTGTTCTTATGATTTTTATCTTTGTTTGAAATATAACCTTATCATAGTTGAATTATGAGCATTTCTTTTAAGAATAATAACTCAACAAAGATACAGTGATAGATAGTTTTTAGTTACAAGTAATTTTTCCTATGCAAGTTCATGCTAAAGCTGAAGAAAATTAAAAGCAAGTCCACAAGAGCCAAAATATGACCATGAACATATCTCACTTGAATTTAGAGATCATCTCAAGAACAGATTTGATGCATTAGACATTCATGGCTAAAGACCAAGAGAATTATGGAATGTCTTCACTAACATCATGCCGGAAAAGCGCAAAAGCTCATTAAGAAGGCAGAAAAGAAAGAAAAGACCAAAGTGGATGTCAGAAGGGACTTCAAAACTTGATCTCCAGTGTAGAGATGCTAAAGCAACGGGAAGAAATGAGATGAAAGTGCTGAACAGAATATTTCAAAGGGCAGCTTTAGAAGACAAAGTCAAGCATTAAAAACTAAAAGGGAAGAACATGCTCAACCTTTCACAAGCTGAAAAAACTGAAGAAAAAAAGCTCAAACCTTGCCATGCAATTTTGAAGGATCCCATAGGCAAAATCTTTGATACCCCATGCAAGTAAAGTTTTACTAAAAGTAATACAGAAACGGCTACAAAGAGACATTGACAGAGAACTTCCAGAAGATTGAACTGGATTCAGAAGAGGCCATGGAATGAGGGCTATCATTGCTGATGTCTGATGGATCTTAGCTGAAAATAGAGAATACCAGAAAGATGTTTACCTATGCAATCGGTAAACTATGCAAAGGCTTTCAGTTGTGTGGATCATGACAGGCTATGGACAACATTGCCAAGTATAAGTACTCCAGAACATTTAATTGTGCTCATGAGGAATCTGTACCTGGACCAAGAGACAGTTGTTCGAACAGAATATGGGAGCATTGAATGTTTTAAAATTAAGAAAGGTTGCGACAAAATTGTTTTCTTTCACCATACTTACTCAGCCTGTATGCTGAGCAAATAATACGAGAAGCTGGGATATATGAAGGAAAACATGACATCAGGATTGGAGAAAGACTCATTAACAACCTGCGATATGCAGATAATACAACCTTGCTTGCTGAAAGTGAAGAGGACTTAAAACATTTATTGATGAAGATCAAAGAGCACAGCCTTTGGTATGGATTGCATCTCAAGTAAAGAAAACAAAAATCCTCACTACTGGGCCAATAAACAACATTCTTATCAATGGAGAAAAGATTGAAGTTATTAAGTACTTCATTCTTCTTGGATCAACTATCAACACTCATGGACGCAGTAGTCAAGAAATCAAAGGACGTATTACATTATACAAATCTGCTGCAGATTTGTGTTGAAGAGTAAAGATGTCAGCTTGAGGACTAAAGTGCGCCTGACCGAAGCCATTGTATTTTCAATAACCTCACATGCTTGCAAAAGCTGGCCAGTGAATAAGGAAGACCATAGAAGAATTGATGCTTTTGAGTTATGGTGTTGGAGGAGAATATTGAAAGTGCCATGGGCTGCCAAAAGAGCCAAGAGATCTGTGTTGGAAGAAGTGCAACCAGAGTGCTCCTTGGAGGCCAAGATGGCCAAACTTCGTCTCTCATACTTTGGACGTATTGTCAGGAGGGACCAGTCGCTGGAGAAGGATATCATGTTTGGTACGGTGGAGGGTCAGAGAAAAAAAGGAAGTCCTCCAGTGAGATGGATTGGCAAAGGCCATAAATGGCCTCAAGTGTGGCAATGATAGTGAGGATCCGGCAGTATTTCGTTCTGCTGTGCATAAGGTCACTATGAGTCAGTACTGACTCGATGGCACCTAACAACAACAACATGGACAAAATATTGAATATTGATGAAAGTACCAAGTTGATGGAAGTTATACACAGAATCACTGTACCAAAAAGAATGGTCAATGTTACCACTTCAAGAGGTAGTATATGATGCAGAGCCAATGGTATTGAAGTCCATGGGGCACTGAAGGATTGGCAAAGAACAAGGCTTTTGGAATTGGTGGAAGACAATTTGAAATCTTTCAACAAACTGTTGCAGTTCTGGAGGCACTCACTCATCTATGCCAAGAAATCTGGAAGACCTGTCCAACTGATTGGAACAGATCTATATTTGGGCCCATTCCAAAGAGAGGTGACCTAATGGAATGCAGAAATTATTGGACAATATCATTAATATTGCATGCAAGTAAAATTTTGTGAAAGCTAATTCAAATATAGCTACTGCAGTGCATATACAGAGAGCTCCGAGAAACTCAAGCTGGATTCAAAAAAGGATGTGGAACTAGGGCTATCACTGCTGATGTCAGAAGGATCTTGGCTGAAGTCAGAGAATACAGAAAGATGTTTACCTGTGCTTTATTGATTATGCTAAGGCTTTTGACTGTGTGGATCATGACAGGCTATGGATAACATTGTGAATAATGGGTATTCCAGAACACTTGATTGTGCTTGTGAGGAGCCTGTACTTAGATCAAGAAACATTCATTAGAACATAACAAGGGGATACTGAATACTTTAGAATTAGGAAAGGTGTGTTCCAGGGCTGTATTCTTTTGCTAAGAGCATGGCTTCAGGATTGGAGGAAGACTTCTTAACAACCTGCTATATGCAGATGAGGCAGCCTTGCTTGCTGAAAGCAAAGAAGACTTAAAATAGTTACTGATGAAGATTAAAGTCTTCAGTATGAGTTGCACTTCAATGTAAACAAAGCAACAATCCTTATAATTGGACCAGTAAACAACATGGTAAATGGATCAAAGATTGAAGTTATCAAAAACTTCTTTTTGGGTAGATCCACAATCAATACTCACGGAAGCAGCAGTCAAGAAATCAAGTGATGTATTGCAATAGGCAAATCTACTGCACAAGATCTCTTTCAAGTGTTCAAGAGAAAAGTTACCAGTTTCAGGACTATGGTGTACCTGACTCAAGCTGTAGTATTTTCAATAGCCTCTTATGCATGTGAAAGTTGGACAATGAATAATTAAGACTGTACAAGAATTGATGCATTTGAGTTATTGTATTGGAGAAAAATATTTAAAGTACTGTCAGAAGAATAAACAGGTCTGGGTTCAAAAAGGTACACCCAGAATGCTCCTTGGAGGCAAGATAGCCAGACTTAGTCTCATGCTTAAGACATGTTGTCCGGAGAAGTTCCTGGTGAAGGACATTATGCTTGGTAAAGTGGAGGATCAGTGAAACAGAGGAAGACACCCAAGGAAATAAATTGACACCATGATGGCATCAGTGGTCTCATGCATAACAATTGTGAGGATGGTGCAGGACTGGGAATTGTTTCATTCTATTGTGCATAGGGTCCTTATGAGTTGGATCCAACTCGATGGCACCTAACAAAAACAACAACAATGTTTCTTTACTGGAATGCAGTCTTTTTTTTTTTTTTTTTAATATATATAGTCACTTTTTTTTATGGTAACTTATAAGCAGCAGTATAACAAAATTAACTTTGTAACAAAATTCATTTTACCTAGTTTTGGTTATCTAATTTAAGAACATAGTAGTTGTTTGTTAAGCTGTATTTGAATTACTTATCTAAAGATCTCCCATAATCTTTTTTGTATAAAATATGTAACCAAAGAAGCATTCTAATTCCCCCAATCTACAGTGTCAGTTTTCTGAATTACTGAATTCAGAATTTCTGAATTGGATAGTGCCCTTATACTCATCAGAATGCATTTTTATTTTACAGGATTTTAACACAATCATTGAAAGATTTCCCACAATTGGTCAACTGTTGGCAAAAACTTCCTGGAATCCTTTTATCTTAGCATATGGTAAGAATTCAACTCATACCCTTTAAAAACACTAGTGTTGACATTGTTTAAAAAATACAGAGTTTTAAATTATAAATCCTCCTATTTTTCATGGAACAGCTTTTCAAATGTACTCATTTTTGCATTTCCAAGGTAGTGTCATTTATAGTTTCACTGCTATTCGTAAGGTTTTCAGTGGCTAGCCATTCAGAAGTGGTCCACCACTCTTTCCTATTCTGTTTTATTCTAGAAACTCCATCGAAACCTGCCCACCATGGGTGACCCTGTTGGTATTTAAAATACAAGTGGCATAGCTTCCAGCATCACAGCAACACTCAACACACAAATATGACTGATAATTATTGGTAATTGGAATATGAAAGTTGGAAACGAAAGAGAAGGATCAGTAGTTGGAAAATAGTATGTCGATTATAGAACTGATGCTGGAGATCACATGATATAATTTTGCAAGGTGAATGACTGATTCATTGCCAATACCTATTTTGTAAACATATTTGCTAACTATACACGTGGGCCTTACCAGATGGAATACACAGGAATCAATTCAGCTACATTTGTGAAATGAGACAATGGAAAAGTCATGGGCCTACTGTGGAACAGACCATCAAGTGTGCTCATGCAAGTTCAAGCTGAAGTTGTAGAAAATTAAAACAGTGAGAGCCAAAAAATGGCCTTGAGTATGTTGTTGCTGTTATGTGCTGTCAAGTCGATTCCAACACATAGTGACCCTGTATAAGCTTTCCAAGGAGCAGCTTATGAGTTTGAACCACTGACCTTGCAGTTCAAGTGACTTTGCAGTCTGACGCATTAGCCCACAGCACCACGTCAGGACTCGACTGTGTCCTACCTGAATTTAGATACCATCTCAAGAACAGATTTAGTATATTTGATAATAATGACTGAAGACTAGAAGAGTTGTGGGATAACATCAAGAGCATCATCCTAGAAGAAAGCAAAAGGTTATTATAAAGGAAAGAAAGAAAAGACCAAAGTAGATGTCAGAAGAGACTCTGAAACATCTTTTGAATGTAGAGAAACTCATGAAAGAAAGATATGGTGAAGTAAAAGAGCTGAGTAGAAAAATTTAAAGGATAGCTAAAGAAGACATTTCTGTTGGCCTGTCAGTTTCCAAGGAGCAACTGGTGTGTTTGAACCATGAACCTTGTAGTTCAAACTGACCTTGTGGTGCGGCGATTATCCTATGGTGCCACACTGGGACTCGAACGAAAACCTGGTGGTGGTGGTGCTGGTTCTGTGCTGTAGAGTGACATCTTTCTCCTGTGGAATGACTGATAGTTTCAAAACTGTTGATCATGAGATTAGCAACCCAACTTGTAACCACTATGCTACCAGAGCTCCCTCATGCTTAGGCTTACCAGCTCTAACCTCTCTTCCACCTCTTCATATTTGTTATGTAAAAACGGTTCCCATTCAGTAGATTTGAACTCATGGTGATCCCATGTTATGCTCCATTGGGATTTCAGTGTCTGATTTTTCAGAAGTAGATCTCCAGGCCTTTCTTCTTTCAAAGAGCAAAACAGAGCCACGAATAATATGAAATAGTTTATTGAAGTAACGAATGATCCAGCACTTTGTGCAGATTCATCAAAATCCTGCAGTATAAGGAAATTTTCTCTGTTTAAATGCAGAAGATTCAGGAATTTATAAGAAAAACAAAACATGCTTTAATAGACACAAGACAGTGGCTGTTGTTTTTGTTAAGTGCTGTCAAGTCGGTTCTGACCCATACTGACCCTGTATAGGGTTTCTGAGGAGCAGCTAGTGAGCTTGAATCACGAACCTTGTTCAAAGCGACTTCACAGTCCAGCGCATTAACCTGCAGGGCCACACCAGTGAGACTCCTTAAATGTTGCTTTGCTAAGTGTAAGGTTTTAGTCATTTAGTAGCTTAATCTGTGTGTATTTGAGGACTAGCCTGAAAGAATGCTCTTCCTGGGATCATGTTGTACATGCAAGGAAGCATTGGGGAGCCTTCAGGCTTCCTGAGTTGTACTGGCTAGCCCAGTTTTGAAGGTCAGCTCAGAATAAACAGCAGAAACAGCCTGTAGCTTCCTCAGAAACCTCTCCTGTGATGCACCTCCTTCCTCTGAGCTCCTTCACACTTCTGAGATGCCTCTGGGTGGATTTGAATTGCCAGCCTTCATGTTAGTACTCTAGTGTCTAGCTGTTTGTACCACCCAGGGACTCCAATTTGTTATGTATGCGTAACAAATTGTCCCAAAATTTAGCAACTTTAAACAATGAATATTTATTTTTGAAAAATAAAAAAGTTGCTTTCATGCCTCTAAAGCTTGTAGAAATAATTTAGATTCCAGTAGAATTTTAGTTCCAGGTATTAAAAAAGAACAGACTGGGTGGCAAGTGTGTATTTGTATATTCCTTTCCTTCCCACTCATTTTTGGAATCTGAATGTGCACGAAGACATGCTGTCTGGGACTGTCCCCATGTAATTGAACATGCTCTGCAGAGTGCTCCAGCCAGGCCTCAGGGCCTCAGGGGAGGAGCCTGACAGATGCTGTCCCCTGTAGAGATTGCTGAGGATACTCATGAATAACAATGATGACCTGCTTCTGTAACTGGCCAAGGTCCTAAGCTCATTAGCAGTGCATTTCAGTGCAGTGACTGGGCAAAGAAAGCCAATTCTGAAAGGATGCTGCAAAGTTACTCTGTCTCTCTTTTGAAGGGAAAAGTTGAAAATACTTGATTTGCACTTGTTTAGCTAAATGAAGGATCACTCAACACCTGGAAAAAACTCCCATCTTCTGGATTCTTTAAAATTTAAGCTCCATAAACTAATATTTCTTTCTTCCCTTCATTCAGTTATCTTTTTTTAAGTTTTTATTGTGAATTGAATGATAGTTTACATGGCAGACCCATTGGCATTACACCATCTTTCATTGCAATGATTACCGTCTCCTCTGTGCATCATCATTCAACAGTATTTGCTTCCATTCCCGATTTGGGGAGGGGAGGTATACACAGAAATACTCAGGAATATATAATAATTTAAACAATCCAAGAGCACATTCTGTAAGCTTGCTTCCTGGCCACCAGTACCCAGTCCCTCTCTTTCCATGAGTCCTCGGTCCTCAGCTGCTCCCTCTCTCCATGTCCTCATCTCTGCCTCCATCTTTGGTGTTGCTGCTTCTCTGGATAGGATCTCGCACCCCGCTTGTGCTCTTCTCCCTTGGCCATCCTTACTTTTTTATTTTAGAAGTTAAATAACCATTATTTTAGTTTAGGGCCACAAAATGTTACATTTATTTTATAATCTTTATTTTTCTAAATCAAGAAAACAGTAATAAACAAAATGTTTTATAGATAAGTTAGCCTTTCCATAATCAAGCTATTTTTAAGGATATCAGGTGTAAAGAAGAAAACAACATGAAATGGTGCACATAGTTCAGTTTCTATAGGGCTATGCTGTGATTTTGCTTGAAAAAAAAAAAAAATCTATGAAAAGCATTGTGGGGAGGGGTGAAAAAGAAACTTTGAAAATCTAGCTAGTACTCACAGGTGAAGATTCTTCCACTTCTCTTTCACTAATTTTTGCATCCCAATTCACTCTACTTCCAGTCAGTAGCCCAGAGAGGCTGCCATTTCTACTCCCTAAAGCACGGATAAAAGCCCTGCTGGGAATATATCTTGATTTAAACAGTTGATCCTAATTGATAGTTGCCTTATCAATTTGCTTTTTTTTTTAAATGTTTTATTGTGAATTATATGATAGTTTACATGAGAGAACGTTAGTTTTACATTCATTCCATCGTATATAATTTCATTGCCGTGGTTCTAATCACCTCCATGCATCATCTTCTGACCAAAGGGTATATCCTAGAAACCCGTCCTCTACACTTCCCTCCCAGCCCCCAGTCTTTGGCCCACAGTCCCTCTCCCTCTCTGGATCCAAAGTCCCCAGCCGCTTCATCACTCCACGTCATCGTCTCTGTCTCCATCTCAGGCATCCCTGCTTCCCTGGTTAGGGGCCTGCTCTCGGCTCTTCTCCGTTGATGGTCTCAGAGACCTTTGCTCCTAGACTGGAGAAATAATCACTCTCTTCCTTGCTACAAAATATCTACCCTTGCATTTCCAACCCTCACAATCCGTCTTGATAACCATTATTCACTACAGTATCGCACGTGACCCATCTGTATTTCATTTCATCAGCTCCACCTAGACAGATTGGATAGTACTCACTGGTGATTCTGCCTTCCTCCATGCCCCCTAGCTCTAGGTTCCCTCTTTTTTTTTTAATGTTTTATTGTGAATTATATGATAGTTTACATGAGAGAACCTCAGTTCCATATTCATTCCATTGTATATCATTACATTGCCATGGTTCCAATCCCCTCCATGCATCGTCTTCCGACCAAAGGGCATATCCTAGAAGCCCGTGCTCTACACTCCCCTCAGTCTTCGGCCCACAGTTCCTCTCCCTCTCTGGATCCAAAGTCCCCAGCCGCTTCATCCCTCCATGTCATCATCTCTGTCTCCATCTCAGGCATCCCCGGTTCTCTGGGTGGTGTCCCGTTCTTGGCTCTTATCCATTGGTGGTCCCAGAGACCTTTGCTCCTAGACTGGAGAAATAATCACTCTCTTCCTTGCTACAAAATATCTACCCTTGCATTTCCAACCCTCACAATCCGTCTTGATAACCATTATTCACTACAGTATCGCACGTGACCCATCTGTATTTCATTTCATCAGCTCCACCTAGACAGATTGGATAGTACTCACTGGTGATTCTGCCTTCCTCCATGCCCCCTAGGTCTAGGTTCCCTCTTGAAATTTTGTAAGCCAGTTACTTCTTGCCTTTGTAGTCCCTCCCTCCCCATTTGGGTAACCAAAGTCCATGTTGCCCCTCTCTGTCTACTCTGTGTGTGGAGGGGGTAGGAATGTTTCTTGCTGTAAGGATTTGTTGCCTCTTTTGTATCACTGCATTTGTATGCATAGGTCAAGTTCATCAGCTTGGATCAGCTC